CAATGAATCAATGAATCAATGAATCAATGAATCAATGAATCAATGAATCAATGAATCAATGAATCAATGAATCAATGAATCAATGAATCAATGAATCAATGAATCAATGAATCAATGAATCAATGAATCAATGAATCAATGAATCAATGAATCAATGAATCAATGAATCAATGAATCAATGAATCAATGAATCAATGAATCAATGAATCAATGAATCAATGAATCAATGAATCAATGAATCAATGAATCAATGAATCAATGAATCAATGAATCAATGAATCAATGAATCAATGAATCAATGAATCAATGAATCAATGAATCAATGAATCAATGAATCAATGAATCAATGAATCAATGAATCAATGAATCAATGAATCAATGAATCAATGAATCAATGAATCAATGAATCAATGAATCAATGAATCAATGAATCAATGAATCAATGAATCAATGAATCAATGAATCAATGAATCAATGAATCAATCAATGAATCAATCAATGAATCAATGAATCAATGAATCAATGAATCAATCAATCAATGAATCAATGAATCAATGAATCAATGAATCAATCAATCAATCAATCAATCAACCAACCAACTAACCAACCAATCAATCAATCAACCAATAAATCCATCAATCAATCAAACAATCAATCAATCAATCAAACGAATGTATTTACACACGGCAAAATCTTCGGTATGCCAGCTTATGAAGGGATTAACAATACATGATTACTTATAACTAATTACATAATATTACAAGTTAAAATTTGACTGATTTAAAAGATTGCCGTGTGGTAGTTCAGATTAAGTATTAAAGTATTCGTTTACAGCCCTCCGAAACTGGGAAAGTGATTGTAATTTTCGTAAATTTTCGGGAGGGGTGTTCCACAGTAATGCTTCACTATAGTGGAAGCTTCGCTTTAAATAATTGGTACGCGGCTTAGGAAGATTCAACTTCATTTCAGGATTTCTAAGATCGTAGTCTGAATTGCGAATTGAAAAAAACCTCTGTAGATAGCCAGTAGTATTACCTTTTAGAGTTTTAAGCATCAAGTTAATTTTTAACTTTTTTCGTGTCAATGAGAGGTGGTCCAGATATAGAGTATTAAGTAATGTACCTGCGTTGGTGTCATAGCTAGTCCTCGTAATGACTCTAACTGCTCGATTCTGTAGTTTTTGTAGTTTATTGGTTAACGTTTCGCCAAGTTCCTCCCAGACCGAGCAGCAATAGTCAAAATGAGGTTGTATTAGTGCATGGAGATCTGGATAGCCGTACTCATTGGAATATAAGTTATAATACGTTTTAATGCTCCTATTGCTGAAGCTATCTTTTTACAATGATTGTCGATATGCACTGACCAGGTTAGATTAGCATCTATATGTACTCCAAAGGATTTAACAGAATTTGTCTTGTTAATTACCTTACTATTTAGTTTAACATTTATTTCTTCGTTTATATTTCTTATTCTTTGCCGAGATCCGATTATCATGAACTCTGTTTTAACTATATTGAGGCTTAATTCATTTGTAACAAACTACTCATTTTTCAATTCTAAGTTGATGATATTTTGGAGGTCATTAACCGAATTGGATGCATAGCAGAGACTTGTATCATCAGCAAACATCCTTGGTGTTGCATGGTTCAGAGAATTTGGTAGATCATTTATGTAAATAAGAAATAGAAGGGGTCCTAGCCTGCTACCTTGTGGTACACAACAGGTGACTGGTTCAGAATTTGACAATTGATCACCGACTCTACATTTTTGAGTTCGATCGGTAAGATAGGAATGGAACTAGGACTATTTTTGTCGATGCCATAATTTTGAAGTTTTAAAAGAATGATTTCATGGTCAATTGTGTCGAAAGTTTTTTTTAGATCAATAAAGACAATGCCATTCACTAGGCCGTTGTTAATATTTACAGACCAGTCACATGTGGCTTCCAAAAACGCTGTTATGGTACTGTAAAAAGATCGAAAGCCAGATTGACAGGCATTTATTAGGTTATTATAGGTGTCGTCATAGTAACTGGAGACCATGTGCTCGCTCAATTTTGACATTTTTTTGTTAATTATACATATGAGCCATCACATACGCTGTGACGTTATAATGGTAAAATTTTTGTTAATGATCGGTAACCGAAATCAACACATTCCGAACGCACATCACTAATCTGTGATTACTGCTAGTATTTCTTATGTAGGCGAACAAGTTTAATTAACCTAATTATGTATCGGAGGCAAAATCTTATACTTCACTTGATGTGCCGCAAAAAGCTTTTGAGACCTAAAACCTCATAGACATGCGGAAACTCAGCTTAGCTCCTAATTTGTGTTGTTATTCTTGTTATATTTTTATAAGGTCGAGAAAAGAAGAATATTGGATGAAATTAAAACCTGAGTCTGGTCAACCTTATTGCCCCGCATTTGCTGAGCTATTGAAATAAACGACGCTGTGGCTAAACGTTTATATAAACGTTGAAAATGTCTTCTTTTTACAATCCTGACATGCATGAAGTGTAATACGTGCATGCAGTCTGCATGCATTTTGTGTACAAGATATATTAGCTATATATGTTAATATAGTATAATATAAATATATATATTCTGATAGAAATATTTTTTATTTATATTAAAGGATTAAGATTATGTGACTCACGTGAGGCACTTCTAGCCAATCTTGAGACATCTTGAGAGTCAATATGACAATGATATAATCGGATATGGTCAATCCTTTGATTCTTTTAAACCATATAGCAACTTTAGAGTGTCATTTTCACTAACTTCAATAGGCTACTAAAAGAAAAACTATCGTATGTAGAATGTTGAACATAATCACAAAAGCTTTTTAGTGGCTAAGGTAGATTTTCTTTGTTAAAAGGATCTGCAATGTTTTTTTCCTCTGTTATAATTTCTCAGTGGCGTAGCTATGCAGCCTGGCGATTTAGTAATGCTATGCAAATTTTGTGTTATTATCATTATTCATTTCTTTAGAAATTCATTGTTTTCATGGTCAATGAACACCAAAATATTAGCATAGCATGACCAAATTGTCGGGCTGGCTACGCCACCGTAATTTTTATGCTACGCCACTTTGTTTATTTTCAAAGATGGTACATTAGTTGTTTTTGATATCGATCCTTTACCTCGAATGAGGTTGACACTTTTCCACACGTTGCTTTACATGGGTTTTGTTATTGCTGTTTATACTATTTTGGAATTTTTTTCTACTATTTGGTTGGTTTTGTTTCGTGCAATTTTTGCCTCATAGAAATACCGAGACTTGGGGCTAGTCGCTTTAGTTTTTAAATAATCTCGATGATTCATTAGGTTTTTAATTTCGTTTGTCAGCCAAGGGCTTTTCGTGTCACCAGTGAGGCATATTTATTACCAATAAAAGTAAACATATTTCTTCATTTTTTGCACATTTTAATTGTTTGCATGGGTCTAGTTTGGCTTCAGTATATATTGGACGAATTTAATTAATAGAATAGATCCCTTCTGAATGAGAATTTTTCGTAGATTTTATAGAATCTAGTTTCAACAATTTTAGGAGGCGGTCTGCTGATTGCATCTTTAAAGCATTCAAAAGCTTGGCTTGCGAGGTTGGCCTAAATCATGTAGTGGTCGCTAATGCTATATAGTACGTAACACACCACTCGATTTAACTTTTTCGAAATGCTTGTGATAAATACGTCTATTATTGATGTCGTTTCAGTAGTAGCTCGTGTTGGCTTTGTTATAATTTGTTCCAGATGGTAAATATCAATAATAGCTAATAGTCGTTTACTATGGGCGTGTTTTTTTTTCATTTTCTAACTAATTTCAATTCAAATCGCCCACTTTATGATATTCTTTATTTTCCTACTTAAGTTTGGCTATTTCACTAATCCCTGACTCACATTTAGTATTGAATTTTGACTGAGTGTATCGGAACTTACCTTGGAATATGAAACTAACCTCAGCCTGTAGAAAAACATAAACACTCCAAAAATCAATAATTAATTGAGGAACAAATGAAATTTCAGTCAGCAAAATCCTTTCTTTTTCCAAAATTTGATTTATATAATGAATGTTTTGATCACGAGCGGGCAAGATGAAATTCTGAGCTCGCAAAATGAAATTCTGAGCGGACAAGCTGAATTTTTGAGCGAGCAAGATAACCTTTTCCAGACGAAATAATAATAATTATACAGCCCTATGCTGCCATCTATTTAAATTATACAAAAGAAATTAATACTCTCTCGTTCATACATTCATCCCAACAAACTTTGCTTTAGTAATATTGACTGCGTAACATGAATAAAATAGACCTTATGCATAATGACGTCACAAAGCGTGATTATGATTAGTTGTCACAGCTGGAAACTTTCGAAACGAAACGTTTCACTCTGTCGACATAACTATAATAACACGAAATAAAACCGTCTATGATGGCTATGAAGTACATCTTTATGATTCGTCACATCATATAAACACAGCCGCAGGTGCCTGAGAGCAAAATTTGATTAAACTCGACACGTCTCCGGTTAACATTTGAGCACAAATTGGGAATTAATTGGCTGGATGTATAGACCACTGCAATATTTTATTAATGCCACTAAATGCCCCAAGAGTCGTTTCGAAATTGGGCCACGCTGATTAGTACGACTATATCAAAGTGATGTACGGCAAGGATTGGGAGTAAAGATGCATCCATTCCAAAACCGAGTAATAATTTTTCTGCTCGTTTTCCTTCGTCGCAATGGACTCTGTTTGGATTTCTGCTTCAATGCTAGCCTCGAAGGTAATAAAAAATATCTCATTTTAATCGACGAAATTAACTTGTTCAGGGTCTATATTCACTTCCACTAAGTCAATGCATAATATGCTTAATATTTAAATATGTGAACAACTAATACTATAGCTAGAGAAATTATATAATAATATAAGATATTTAGCTACGTTAATTCCATGCAGCTAAATAAATTATCTTTCTACCAAACAGGCTCTCGGCTCAACAGTTCAGTTCTAAAGAGGACACAGGTTTCGAACGAAATTGATTGCATAATATCGTGCGTACAAGAACCATGTTGCAGATCTCTGAACTATATGGAAAGATTACCGAAAGGACACGCCAGTCTCTGTGAGATGCTACACGATGTCATTTTTGATACCTCAAGAGGGTTGCAAAAGAATTCCTCTTATGATTATGTTTTTTTCACTGCGCCACAGAAGGTAGATTTCTTACTCATATAAACGAACAAAGATCGCGGGACTTGCAGAAATAGTAAAAAAATGATGTTAGTTTTGTTCTCAGTACTTAATGTATGATGATGATATTTATATACAAATTCCGCACACCAGAGCATGCATTGCATACAAAAAATAAAATCCAATATGGTGGTGCAAAATGAATTGGTGGCTAAGGCCATATTTGATTTTTACTTCCGTATACATACGCGGTTAAGACAATTCATTTCTTTAGAAATTCATGGTTTTCACAGGCAATCAACATCAAAATATTAGCATAGCACGACTAAATTGTCGGGCTGGCTACGCCACTGAAAATAATCATCCTAATTCTGCATAATGTTTTTCTGCCATTTGACAAGATGCAATTGGCTATGGCCGGTTTGTTGCAGAAGTTACATTAATTTTCACGATAGGATTACTATACAAGCGCAAAAAGATTGGCGTCTTGTTACGCGGTGCAATTTTTTAATTTCATGCAACTTTCAATGCAATTCTACTTTTAAGAAATGTAAGTTTGGAAACTAAGAAAATATTATTTTTATTAATTACTGCATAGACGCTAATAATTCTTACATTTTGAATAACAAAGTAGAATTGCCGGCATTGCAAGTTGAAAGAAAATTTGCACCGTGTACCAGGGGCGTAAAAGATAAAGCTCTTCTACTTTAAATGCGAAAGAGACAAAGCAGCTTGTAAATTATTTTTTAATTATCACACCGTAATTTGCATGTGCAAAATGTAGCTATATTTCTTGTGTAATGCGTCTTAGAATAATCGATGAAATGAAAAATACTTAGTCACCTGCCGAAACCTATTAAGCATAACACAGGGTGTTCTTTTCATAACAGGTATACAATGAACGATGCACCGAAAAAGGTATTTTATTATTTTTATTAGAGGCGTAGCTGGAAGCTTAATTCGAGGGAGCATATTATTCATCTTGTGCCCGGATGATTTCTAAGTTTTTCTTCCTACGTTTTGTAATTAATATGAGTACAGCACTATATGAATATGCATCCTCCAGTTAGACCGTCCAACTATACGATCCTGTATATTATTCATGCATGTTGACGTGTTCTGCATTATTTATTCCCTTTGAAATAAATTGTTCTCACGGCATGAGAATAAGGCCTGTTTTCCACTTCAACAGTACGTAGCGTAATGTATCGTATTTCTATGTGTTTCCGAGTATTCGACCAGAACTGATGACTCTAAAAAGATACGGTACGTTTTGCTAGGATACGGTTGAAGTGGAAAACGACCGTAAGCCTATTATAGGATCATTTGCTAAGTTTGCCTTTAATTATCCCCGAGCCGGTGCGGATCATTGTGCGAGGGTACTAATTCCGCTCGGATATTTATACCCACGATATGCAAATGCGAAATCAAAGTCGCCCGCCATTATGCAATGGACCTCACGCCATGGACGGTCTTCTACGTTTTACGCATGCGCCAGTGTGAACTGCTAAGCTCTTGATTGGTCGAGACAAAAATTTATATTTTCAAACGTCAATGAATAACTGTCATTTAGCAAAATTTTGATGAAATTTACAAATTTATATTTTTATAGGTATGGACATAGGCGGCCCAGAACTGATCTCACTGACCTCGCGCGACGCTTATGTTGTCTGAACAGTTTTATATAATGACAAGGTAGGCAACTCTCACGCCAAATAAGCTAAAAACGCACGACGGTTGACCCAAACACTTTCACAAAACCGCAAATATTTCATAAAAATATGGCGAATAAGAAAAAAAAAAGTACAACACATTAAACTTGAATAATTTTACTACATTTATACTATATTTTTAGCATTCAAATGTATTCCTATGCATGTATAAAACGTGAATGTTTTTTGGGTTTATGGCAAATATATTTCAAAACCTATGCTGGGGACACCTTGCCTATACCTTCGTCATATTTTTAAATTGAGAATAGAAAGCTGATTGGCTCTTTTTAAACGACAGCCAATCAGCTTTCTATTCTCAATTTAAAAATATGACGAAGGTATAGGCAAGGTGTCCCCAGCATAGGTTTTGAAATATATTTGCCAGAAACCCAAAAAACATTCACGTTTTATACATGCATAGGAATACATTTGAATGCTAAAAATATAGTATAAATGTAATAAAATTATTCAAGTTTAATGTGTTGTACTTTTTTTTCTTATTCGCCATATTTTTATGAAATATTTGCGGTTTTGTGAAAGTGTTTGGGTCAACCGTCGTGCGTTTTTAGCTTATTTGGCGTGAGAGTTGCCTACCTTGTCATAATATAAGACTGTTCAGACAACATGAGCGTAGCGCGAGGTCAGTGAGATCAGTTCTGGGCCGCCTATGGTATGGAATATATTTATTTTTACTAAATTAGGGGGAAACTCGAATAATGTCAGACTTTTCACGATTTAACAAATAACAAGATCAAATTTTCGACCAAATTCACCGTGTATAATGAACTGGGAATATTTTACACTTGATAATATTTCATCCGGCAGACCGGCACAGCTTTAAAAAGTAATTCTTTTGTGGTAAACACAACTTTTATATTCTCAAATGTTTTTCACTATAAATCTGTATGTGTTATGTGATAAACGACATTATAATTTCATTATAAACTCCGTTTTCATAATGACAAAAAGAAAACAAAATCAAAACATTCCCGTACAAAAACCGGTCGAAGCGTTGTATGAGACGTCTGATGTTATATTTCATGGCATTTAATAATTAAAATAATTTACCATAACACTGACTATAGATGAGTAACTTAACTTCAAGAAAAATGTAAGAATCTTGTCGTATTTTTGCCATTTTTTTCAAAAAAATATGAGGGCAAACATTGATTCTTTAAAAATATACCGCCGTTGCGAGTTGCTATGACTACAGTGTTTCCACATGCAGAAAAATATTTCCATACTTTTATCAATTTCTATTTCTCACATACCATCAGATACCATGTACCCTCCAAAACCCCCAAACCACATAAAATTTCTAACAATCATTATCTAATTTCGTTTAACCGAGGCGAGGGGTTGCTGCATGCATGTATTTCTAGTACAGGGGCTGGTTGTTCGAAAGATGATAACTTATCCAACGGATAAGTCCTATCCAACGGATAAATCTGCTATTCAGTGGATAGTTATCCATTGGATAAAAACGCGTTGCACGAAGCGTGGATAGTGAAGTGGATAGCTATCCTATAGATAAGTTAAAATATACCGGAAGAAAACAGGATTATCCTGAAATTTCGTACCACAACGTCAGCTGTTGCTAAGCATTTACAACATTGAATTCATAATCATTACGAATTCTCGAGTATAGTTACTGAATGGAAAAGACTTGAACAAGTGATTTGCTCGAACTTTACATCATAGTGATTTTATTAATTAAACACATTGCAATTTTATTCCTTGACCTTGCAACGCTTTGCTATTCGGTTCCATAGCAAATTTAGGAACACTACATTAATGTTCGTGAATGAAATTACTTAGATACTAGCAAGTTTCCTTGGAATAGGTTGAATCTTTCTTTGCATATTCGCGTTTATAAACTGATTAGAAGCGTATAGTAAATTTACCGCCTGTTATAAATGCGAGGATCTCCAAAAAATCGCCGCTCGGAACGGAATGTGTAGGCAACGTGAAACGCTGCTGCGACAAATTGCACTTCGAAAACATTTCTAATAGTGAATACAATAATGATGTGTATTAGTTTGTTGAAACACAGTAACAGGAATATGGCATTTTGTCCTATTTTATATAAATGTTTACAGTGTTACCTTGTATCTTTGAATTTATCCACTCCATGGATAGTGGATTTAAACTACCTCCGGACCTTGGATAAATTTATCCGGTAGATAGCGATTTTTATCCGCTGGATAAAGTTATCCAAGCTTCGAGCAACGCAAATCACACAATGGATAAAACTTATCCGTTGGATAGTGAGTCATCCGTTGGATAGCGACTTATCCACCTTTCGAACAACCGGCCCCAGGAATATAATTATCGTTCTCGCGGCGCCCTTGATAAAGATCGATCTTATATTAGAAGACGGATTTCTATCTGCTCGCAGACCGAATTAGGGGGCCGGAAATTTTTCCCGTCAATTCAGTCTGCGAGTAGGCTAAGCGATTTCCGTCTAAGACACAAAACTCGACGAAGACCGGTAACTCGTTTGTATCCCAATGTATTCCGCAAAGCTTAATTACCAGTCTTTTATTTCTATTTTGGGCAAAAATTTGTCTGATTTATTCGTCAGATATAAATTTAGGACGAGTCGTTTGAACGGAAAAGTTGGACGGAGAAATTAAGACGAAGAACCTACGGTTTACCGAATTTATATTAAGACCTGTTAACCGTCTGCATCGAGTTTTGTGTCTCAGACGGAAATCCGTCTTCGAATAATTTTTATAAATTCGGCTAATGTCCTTTGAGTTTTACTATAAAATACATCGAGTGAAAGGGACCTTAGTAACTGAATTCGTACAGCATTATATGATTTTTACATCCACTTGCAGGAGATTTTGATCTCACATTTGAAAGCGCTGAAAACTTTATTCTACTTGATCAAAATGTGCCGAAGATGTCCAACATGACACTAATGTTCTGGATGAATACGCTGAAAGCAGACGAAATGACAGTTTTTTCCTACAGAACGAGGGAAGGTGCCGAAGAATTTATGCTTAAAATGAAGAAAGAAAAGATAATCGTTGAAGTCCAATCGCTTAAAAAGTATGAGAAATATGTGTTTGTATTATGCATGTGGAATAACGAAATTGCTTTCTATGCGTTTTTAACATTTAAAAAGGTTGAAGGAAAATAAATTTCGCCACTCGACGTAACCACTGACGGCCAAAGGCAAAACATTATGGGAAATTATTTAACTCTTTCGTGGTTTTGTCTTTTTTATGGAAATTCATGCAAATTTCACATTTATTAAGTGTTTTTGTGAGTGACGTGAAACTTGGAAATTAGAAGACAAATATATTGCAACTTCTTTAATCAATGTTGATTAATGAGTTGTATGATCGACGCGTGTTTGATCACTTAATAACAATCCTTTTGTCTTCGAAATGAATTAATAATCATCGAAATTAGATAATTGGGTTATCGTCGTTCTTATATACAGCGAGTGTCTCTGAAAAAATCCCTATGAATGAAATTACCAGACCTATGGGAGCGATATTTTCAATGTAATGATTTAATCCTTATGCAATATGAAAGAGCTGTAATTTCGCTTCCCAATGATATATCTTTCTTCAGTTCGTAACAGCAAGAAATAATGAAATACATTTTTCAAAATTTAAGCCACCATTAAGTCAAAATTAGTGACCGAAATCAAACTTGCCTGCTTGAAAAACGGCAGGTAAAACGAAGCAAATTTGAATTTTTCAAAATTGGAATCTATTATCCCCGAGCCGGCGCGAAGCGCCGTGCGAGGGTACTAATTCCGCTGGGAGATTTATTACACCCGGGTATTGTGACAGAACATAGCGGAATCCAAAGTTGCTCAAATTCTATGTCGTGGACCGTGGACGTTCAATGGTCATGGTACTTGTGCGCATGCGTGAAATGCGAACGAGTGTAGACTGGTAATCAACGAACGTTCTGATTGGCTAAGACATAAAGTTTGTAATTCAATGAGAACGTCAGCAATTTAACTGTCATTTCGTAAACATTTTTGTAAAAACGTTTCATAAACTTTGTGCAAAGAAAGTAAAACGAGAAGAAACAAGATATATGAAGCATGACAGATAGCAAAGATGAACGTGGATACAGTCAAAACAAAGCCGTGTAAGAGGAATAATTCATAATCTGCAAGCTTATAAATGTTTTCAAAGACAAAGGGTACGTGTTTACTTTGTTTATCTTGTACTTGTTTCGCGGTAAGAATGAGCCGTATTTGTATACTTTTCAGCTTTGTATGCCGTCCATTTGTTAAATTTTCAGCTTTTTCTGCCAACGCATAAACCTGTGAAGGGCTATTACACCTTTGCTTTAACTTCAAAAAGTGTTTTTGAAAGTGTAATTTGAATTTTGGTATCAAAAATACACACTATATTTATAAAGTATACTGAAACTTAGCCGCCGGCGTTGACTGCAATTACAGAATGAAATAACATTTGAAGTTTTTTCTTTGTCTGTGAAGATTTTGTACTGTTTTAATCGTTTGAAACTTCGATTTTAAACCGTTACTTAATTGCTGGCATGGTATAATGCAGCAAAATTGAACGGGCAATGTTTACACTAGCTTTGTGATTATTTTTGTATTGAATGATGGAAACTTTAAGACTGATTTGAGTTTAGTGTCATTTCATAATATAAGTTTAGGTCAGGTTAACTCAGGAAATTGTGTACTTGGTTTGAAATAGCGAGGGGTTGCTGCATGCATGTATTTCTAGTAGACTTTTAATCATGCGTGTTTAAGCCAATCAGATTGTGGAATTAAATTCCAGGCGGTGAGAGAATGTTGTAGCTTTCGACGGGCAATTTTTAACAGACAATTACTTTGCCATTTCTGGCTATTATGCATGGCATAAAAAAGATGTCGTTTAAAAGATAAATAACTCCTTTCTCTTGTACCTTGAAAAATAAATCGTGTGGCTCAATATTTAATACTAGAAATACATGCATGCAGCAACCCCTCGCAATTTTAAAGGAAGCAAAATATTTCGTGCGCTACCCTGATCTAACTTTCTACGCTAATATTATGAAATAACTCGTGCAAATTTTTCGGAAACAAAAACAGTCGTAAAGGTGAACAGAAATCTCCTGTTTGCCAGTTGCATTACGTTGCAGTTTAAGTGAGTGTTAAACTTTTCTATTGCTAAACCTTCAAAACATCAAAACAGCACAATTAATTATACTGAATAACCATACAAGCACTAAACGTCGAGTGTCGTTTTTCAGTTATTTATTTTATTCAATGATTTTAGCGACTATATAAGCTGCAAAGTGATATTTATTTTATCAAAACTCTGAAGTACACTTTTGAGAACTCTTTTTAAAGTTTAAGCGATGATGTAAAGCCTTAAACGATCGGTTAGCTTCTAGTAAAACGACATACCAAGCTCGTACTTGTTAAAATAACAATGCATTCTTACCGCAAACACTGAACAAGCAAAATATCAGTAGACACCTACCACTTCAAAGATTATAAACTACGAGTCGTTGCTATTCCACTAACTGTTTCTGTGCTGTGATGTTCTTTAAATCTTTTGTTATTGTTTTAATATTTGACTCCATGATTTCATTTAATATTTTTAAAAAATAGTTTGCAAAATGACGGTTAAAATGCTGACACTCTCATGCATGCTCTCTTTTTGTCTTAGCCAATCAGCAAGTTGTAGTCGACCATTCTTTCTTCGTTCAAATTTCGTGCATGCGCAAAACTAACATGACCATTAAACGTCCATGACATTTGGGCAACTTTGGATTCGCCTATGTTCTGTCAGAATACCCGGGTTTGATTCCTAATAACCGGGCGGGATTAGTACTCTCGCACAGCGCTTCGCGCTGGCTCGGGGATTAAAAAATAGAAACTTTTTTCGTGTTTCTATACAGTTATAGAAACACGCGTGGGTGGATGGGAGAACGAGAAATATAATGGGCGAGTTTTTCCACGTTATTTTGAGTTCTTGCAAACTCCCACAAGTGTTTCTGTAACTATAATATAGAAACACAGGGAAAATAATTTTCATTTTTTCTATAATACCACTCAATAAAAAGATTTCATACAAATGTTATATTTCGATTCAATTACAAATCTCATTACATCGCTTTGCCTGTCAAGTTCGGCGGGAAAACTTCCGTATTTCTATAAATACAGTTATGGGGGGAGGTATACTGAAAGTCAGTCAGTTGCTCATACCTGTTACAAAGACAAACTGTTCATGTTCAACCTAGTTATACTTTTTACTAAATTTTTGTGGAGTTAAATCCCAAGGCTTTAATGCTATTTTTAAGGTATTTCTTTATTCCGCCAATAAATGACGGTTATTGGCATCACGTGGCGGTAACATGGTCTCTTGGAATATACAGTGTTTCTCTTGATGGTATATTAGTGTACAGTGGTGATGGTCTTTCTTCTGGCCAACCGTTGAAAGCTGATGGTGTCTTTGTCATCGAGAGTTCATACTCGGGCAAATTGAGTCAATTAAATGTATGGAGTGATTTAAAGTCCACTACTGCGGATCTCGATATAAATTCCAATCCACAAAGCTGTTTAACTGACGAAGTTGGAAATGTTATTAATTGGCGTTTCCTTGACGACAGCTATCATGCTGTGGTTGGCAAGGAACTAATAAGTTCGTGTAAGCCGCTTCGAAAGAGTAAGTCGAATATTAATAATTATTTTTGAAATTTCTCAAAGCAAATGGAGTACACTTAGCGGTTGTAAAATGTTCGTAGGTACATAATAATTGAAAACTGGCTCGTCTGACGTCATGCATGCATCTAACTTTTTTTTACTCTAGATCCTGATTATGACTTTATCATGAAAAAACCATCATCAAACGAATTTAACATGATAAAGTTAGGAAGTATTTCAAGTCTTGAGGCTTTCACAATAACAACCTGGTTAAAACACGAAGAGAGGACGCAATATGACTCCAAATCTATGGAATATGTTGATTACAGGAGTGCTAACGGAACAAAGTTGGTATCACTTTATTTTACTGCAGAATATTTCATCTTGAAAATAATCGGCACTTTTGCAAGGCAAGTTTTTCTGACAAATAATTTTGTCTTAATAATCCCTTTGGTATTTTCTGTTGAAACGCCATTAGACTGAAGTAGTCTGACAGGTTTTTTTTCTCTATTGAAATATAACTTTTATAAGTTGTGTCTTGCGTAAATGAGGGAAGATGTCATGTGTCATAATCGCCGATTACCTCCTGAGGGATGGGTCTGGAGGAATGGGGAACTTCTAGTTAGGCTATATTTAGGAATGGTACTATTAAAGTGGTACACCAAAAAAGATCATTTGCATAGTTAAAAATTAGAAATATTGAAATATGTTGAATTAGAAATGTATGACTGTTCTAATTCTAGTTCACAGCACGGACAATCGTACCGAAGTTAATTTGAGTATATTGCGGCAAAAACTCTTCCTTGGTTCTACCATAAACAAACCTCTGAAACCACTAAAGCATACTTGGCACACTGATGTCTTTGCTTCGAACTAGACTCTAGCTAAAAAACAGATATTAAGTGTGTTAAGATATTTAGATATTTTCATATTTATAATATGCGGCAAAATAATGACCTTTTAATTTGTCGTGTAGCACCTTAAAGACTTATTTACTCGCTTAACATTAGCCCTGTTGCACTATGCAATTGAAACTTGTCAAGCATTTCTACTTTTGAGATATGTAAATTTCGCAACTAGTAAGCTTTTAGGGTTTTACACTCCATGGACGTTTCATAGACTTACATTTTGAAGACTTTTTAGTAATTTAGCTACATCTCTTAAAAAGAAAATTACATTGCCTTAAATCGTTTTGAGAATTTTCGTCTACGCATTCGTTTTATAAATATAAGATGTCGGCGGTGAGTCGCTAGCCACGCTGGTCTAAATTAACTAAATCTCACCCCACTCGTGTAGGCTCATATATTGTCAGCGGACAACATACATAAAATTGAGAGCAGTGTGAAGTGCGTAAAACGAAAATTTTCTAATTTTGATGCGAAGACTGCTGAAGAAGACTGAGCCCTCTATACTGGGAGAAAATTTGCCAAATATGACCACCGTGAATTAACTAATCATTTATTAATTTTAAAAGGAAAGCAAAGATTCCATGGTTTTGGAATGAATCTCCAGCATACTGGCATCATTTGTCTACGACATGGTCAGGCGATACTGGCCACTGGAAGATATATCTCGATGGTTCCTTGGTCTCCATTATGCATGATGTAGCTTCAAGTAAAACCTTTCATGCAGAAGGAAGACTTTCCTTACGTAAGTGCTATGCTATTTTATTTAATAATGCTCAGTGGATGGTTGCTCAAAAGCCGGTTAACGCTGACCCAGGGTTAAAAACGCCTAACCCATCTTAACTCTGGGTTAATTTGCGTTGTACAAAGCATTTTAGAGGCTAAAAATGGATGTAAATGTGTTCCTTAACTCGATGAAGCTAATGAATTTCGCTGAGTGATTTTACGCCATTCAACGATCAACGCCATTATTTTCTTTTAGGCGTTGGTATGATACAATGCAATAAGTTAAATATTTAACAATGCTAGTAGGCAAAAAAAAGCAAATTTGTAGGGTTGTGAGGCATTGTGGTTTTGCGCAGTTACATGCGCATAATCCATGATTCGTCTAACTTCAATACATGTGGTTTGGCTGTTAGTTGTTTTGATATCGTGCGAAAAAAATAAGAAACATATCAGTTACGAGGTTATAACAAAATTCTATAAGATCAGTTGCGATATTTCGATCTATATTCTGTTTACCATTTGCGTTTGTTTTTATGCCTTTTTACTGTAATTTGTTTCACTATAAGTTTCAATGTTCACTCATCTATCCGTGATATTTGTAATAATAGTACTGTTAGAATAACTCATTATTTCATGCGCATTTAAAATGTACAGTTTATCAGTTTCTACTTGCTTCGATTTGTAAATTATAAAATTAAGCCACAAATTAAGCCACAGTTTAGTGTTTTTAAAGATAATCCACGTACACCTGTAATTGCCTAGTAACATTATTGATATGTGACTGGCTAAGACAAATGAAATGCTAAACAGAATCAAGTCGAAATCTCCTACTTTAATTATGCGACGTGTTAATGTTGATCCTTATTTGCTTCCTTGCTGTCGAACGGATGTAAAAAGCGTGCTTTGACAGTGAGTTTGACTGCCCTGTTTTTCTAAGAGTAAGAGCACACGTAGAAACGTGAGAGAATTTAAAAACAATGCGCAAACAACTAAAAACAACCACGGACAATGCCTTCGATCCTAAAAATTTCCTTTTTTACTATCTTCTGCTGGAAAAAATCACACCAATATTCTATTAATTTTTCTGTATACATATCCTGCGATAACATTTAATCATAGGAAAAAACTTATAGGAACGTGAATTATATATTTAGAACAATTAAGTTCAGGATTGCTTTCATTTATTTATCAGAATTAAAATTGATAAATCAAACTATAAAGGGTAAGACTACGTAGAATACTACCGGTGAAATCGTAGCAAGTCGTATTTTGTCATAGTCTATGTAGTTTTATTCGCTTATAACGCCCACAGAAACCCCTACCTTGCAGGTACACTAGTATGGTCACTTAAATTTTAGATGGTGGTATGGCGCACAATAGCCATCAAAGTAGACTTAATGTTTGGAGCTATAAAATTGATGGCCATGCTTTATCATTAATGGCAAACAAAGGACCATTGTTTGAAAACGGTAATGTCTTCGCGTGGTATGGAATAAAATCCAAGGTTACGGCAAGCACAGTCTTCCAAGAAACCTCGAGTGATCTACACAACTCTCGTAAGTATATGACGAAGGTCATGTTTCCCGAGTGTTTTGATTACCTCGTTTCGTTCGCCATGACACGAAACGAATACATTTATAGAATTTATTACACTAAGCTCCAGTAAGTCACCGGTGAAAATGCCTGCAGGGTTACATTATTTGTGTCACTTTATACTATTATGCGGGTTCCAACCAAAATGTACTTGCGTAATCCAAACATACCTTGTGAAAAACGTTTGTCTATGAACAACAAACAGTTCTCAGATTCGTACCATCAATAGGGCCTAATATTCTTCGTTCATCACTTTACGCGGTTCAATTTTCGAACGAACTTGCTAGATTAAAATATGATTAATATTGGCCTGAAAATAACTGGAGATAATAAAGCAGAACAAAGACAACAGCTCGATATTCTAAGCGTGGAACGAAAAATAACGATTGATAAATTAATTGCCCTAGGCTGATAAAATTGTAGACAATAAGAGGAAAGCTGGAGAAATTTTAAGTCAGCAGCTGAAGACAACAATAGTCAGCTTTAGCAGCGACTGCGAGTACGACTACGAGTATACCAGATTCGTCATTCTCGCGCGTTAATTGTTTGAATACGCCATGAATGACGAATCTCGTACTCGTAGTCGTTGCTAAAACTTCGTATTAGTAAAATGAGTATTGAGAATAACACTTCTTAAATCATGAACAAAGTCAGATACAGACCTCGAGAGCGGGATACATTATGCAATCTACGCCGTTTGAACGTGAAAATAATGTATCATGATAAATTTGCTAGTACTTCAGCTCATCATTGATATTGTTCTAAATGATGCCATTTCACTTCCCTCCAAAACGTGAAACGTCAGTCGTCTGAACTTTACGAAATTTCAACCAGTCCGTTGTCGTTTTCCTCTTGTGACTCGTGCGGCACAAAAAAATCCCAGACCCACAGAAATGTCAAGTTGAACGTTAACTAGCTGTTGCGAATATATATCAAAATATTGTAAATGAAATTTCATAAAAATGCTCTTGGGCGAGACAGGCCAAACCAATCAGGTTACATTATAGTTTAGCCCTTTTAACGTACAATGTATTTTGTTATATACCTGATGTCAAAATTTATCTTCTCTGCTTTCCTATTGGGCATGAGGTCCCCACGTGGAGGGTCGCAAATCTCCATGATTACGCGTGATCACACCAGCGTACATTAAATTTCATAATTTTCCTTAGGGCAAATTATGGTTGGGCAAATTATGAAATTTGATGCCCGTTGCTATGCTTTGCCAAGCACCAAGATCCTGGAAGCCACAGGAGAGTGGCGAAGATATATATTTTTTGAGATTAAAGAATTTTTCTACCGTTTTTGAAGTTAATTTTATATTTTAGCAACAACTGCGGTCGCAGGTCAAAAAAACACACGGTTTCCCTCATCATCAGTAAATAAAAAGGCCATTATTTTACCCGACATAGCGGCCTATCCTTCGATATAAAATTATTTTCATCAAAAGCATTAGTTGCGTCTACCCTTTACTAAATTTTAACCATCCTATCCAGCTCCCTGTCGCTTTCCGTCTGATGTGAAGTCAATGATAGTCATACTCACATAAATGTGAATCAATTTCTTCCTGTGTCCTATAATTAGCCTGCTGCTTATCAACTTTTCTTGCTAGGGTCGATGTCTGTATACCAGATGGATTTTCCCTCCGCTTCGGACAAGAACTACGTATTAATAAAAGACGCTGTCCATGAAGCAATCAGGTTCTTTTCCCTTTGTTTTTGGGCAAAATTTTTGCGCACATATGCTGGCGTATTTGTCTACTCAAGCCCAAGTATGATGAGAAATTGGGTCTTTTTATACAATGACTTTGTATTGGACCTCTCTATCAAGCATTCGGGGAAAAACGGGTTAGTAATGGACATTTGTTTCTCAATTTCAATATAAAAAATCATGCACAATAAATATTAGCTACTCTATAAGAAAGCAATTAAATTACATAATCCATGTTCCCACACCAAAATAAAGACAAAAAGTTCGACATTATAAATTACGCAAATCCGGAGATTTGACCAGCCTCCGGAGATTATTCAGCAATACTTTGTTATTCGTGAAAGTGAGTGCAATTAAGTGAGCTTCAGCAGCAAAGTAAACTTCCGAACCGTAAATGAATCAATGTTTATTACCGTGCATTAAAACGAAATTCTGAAGAAGGTTTACGAATTACGTCTGATTTGTTCTCTTTCGACTCCTGCTACACAAAAATCATGATGTCCCAGACGCACAGAAATGCCAAAGAGTTCATTATACGTTAACTACTGCGAATCTTCATCACAACATTGTAAAATCAGATCTCATACTTGACGTACAATCCTGGTGAAAACATTGACGACACTCGGTGTTAAATGACTCTACAGTCAGCAATCACGGAATGTATTTCAAAATTCTCCCCCTTTCCTCCACAAATCAATGTTGGGTGATGTGTCAAAACTCATTCAAGCATTTAGCATGGACTCAACATTGATTAGGAGGGGGGGGGGGGCGAGTGGTAAAATCGACACAGAAATGTTGATGTTTTGCGTAAAAAACTAAAAATCAATTAGAGCGTATAGTCAATGGTTTTGGCCAGGATTGTATGCCTGACCGAGAAAGGCATCAATTAAATTGTATTGTATTTCTATCTTTAAGGTCTGTGATTTCCAACCACACATCGTGGCATTTTTATTGCCTGCAGTGGAGAAACAGTGATGGTTTAGTCCAGACTTATCAAGACGGAAAAAACCTGGGAACGAATCACAAAGCGTCAGGTTCTACAATACCCTCCAAAGGCATCGTGGTTCTTGGCCAGGAATTGGATGGTTATGGCAGCCGTTTTGATAGCAACCAGGCATTTCAAGGAAGCCTCGCAGGGTTAAATCTCTGGAGCCAATTTTTGACAGCAAATATTATACAAGGAATGGCATTCGGGGTCCTGAATGTTAACGGAAATCTTCTCCAATGGAGAAATTTCAGAAATCATACATTTGGTATCGTAACTGTACGACATGGATCCGAAGCAGAGATTCCAGGTATTTTGTGATATAATCTCATTTTTATTTATTATTTTAGTTGCAATGAATAAGCAATGCATGACTTTGAAACAGTATTTCTTTTCCGTTTCTCGTCAGAGACACGCCATTGTCAGCCATTCTTGACAAAATGCAAACTCATGTGTAGGATCACAGATGTTCATTTTTCTACCATCAGCAGAAAAAAAACAGCAAGAAAAAAAACCAGGGGCCGGTGGTATGAAACCCAGTTAGTGCTATCAACCAGTAGTGATTTTTTCAACAGTTCTAAAAATTCTCGAAAAGTGCTAAAATTTCAGCTTTAGAAACAACACCTATTAAAGAGGATCCGTGATTTAGGAATACTAAGATTTGATCAAAATTATAGCAAACAACGGGCGATTTTAAAGCTATGAATAAATAGCGCTATCCGGCTTTCATACAACCGGCCCTAGTGTTATGTAGCTTTTTTTTTATTTACGCGAGGTAGGAGATCTTTACAACGTTTTACTAAAGTTCAATAATGTACTCTTCTTTTTCCGTTCTTCTCTTTTCTTCGGATTCTTCGTACTTTCGGACCTCGTTGTTTTCTGTTCTTGTCTTTGGTTGTCTGTCCTGTAAGGTTGAGATTTTTAACGTTTCATATGCTTTTTACTCCGCTAGTCCACTTCTTTTAGTCCACTCTCGTGTTTAGCCCACTGAAGTTTCTGTTGCTGTGCGCCTCCTTTTATAATAAAATTTGAGGGAATCTTGAAGACGCCCTGTGCAAGGTGTTGTGATTCACACAATCCAATCAGCGTTTTAGGTTGTAAGTGTGGGTTGGCGTTAGAAGCTTGGTCCAGCTCTCATACTTTGTTTACTTAAGGCCGGTGACGCACTAGTCAAGTTGGTCTTTTACTTAATCGATCACTGTTAAAACTTGTTCACAACTTAAAATATTTATCATCAACTTAAAGTACAATTATCAACTTATTACTCAGTGAACCGTATCTTAACTTATAAACTATTTTACAAATAATTTCATCGAATTAAATTTTTAGTGACGCAAGGCTTCAAGCGCTTAACCTAGCAAAATATAACAAAGAAATGATTGACATAAACTAGTATCCGCCAAGAACTTATGGTCTTGAATCGTGACACTTGTACTTTGTACAACATACTATTGTTTGGGAGGAAATCCCATGGGCTGTGACCTTATGACAGGAAAAGTAATTTTGTGATTCCGAATGGTCATAATAATATTTACTTTACACTTCATTTTATATGACGTGTTCCCAAAGTAAGTTCCCCGTCGATATTGACCTTGTGTTTTTTAACAATGCTAAATTACATTATATATTCGCATTTCGTAACACTAGTAATGTGTACACACCCATAACCAAACTTTCACAAGTAGAAATATGCTTCATAATTCTTTCAGAATATCGAGTACAGAGTCTTCGAGATAAGTGGTGTGCGAAAAACATCACTGAAGTTTTCACTTATGCAAGATTTGTTCTCGGTCTGGACACAGATGGCTACAAGTGGCGGTGTGTTGCACCTGCGGCCATGTTGGATGAAAATATGTGTTACAATATCACTAAGAAGTCATCTTTGTATTATCCCATGGACACGAACGAAGACATTTTCGGAAATAATTGAAAAATATTTCCTTGACATAAATAACTTTGATTTACGTATAAATTAGCTCCAACATAACATGCAGGGATAGCAGCGTGACAGCGTCTTCGAACATGCAACTTCGCGTCAAATCAGGTATAACAACTGCCTTTAGTAACTGCGTACTAACTCTCCTGACGAAAGGCCCTCAGGTCGAAGCGTCGAGAAGTGTTTTGTGTACTTAAGACAGTCGTTATACTACATTTGATGCTGCGTGTAAATAGGTAAAATAGATGGGATGTATTTAAAGTTATGTTTTGTCCCGACTATCGGTAATAATTTTGAACTGCTTTACATGCAATTACCAAAAATTTTGGGTTAGTGCTAGGGTCATCTGATTGAATATTTAACCGTGTGAATTACTATGCAGAAGCACAACGAAATTTTGCACAACGCACTCTTCGCATTGTGGTATTTTGATCGACGCATTAAGATGATCATTTTCCACTAGGGTTAACATCGACACAAAGTCCTTCGTAATTACCATCACATGATTAAAATATTAAAAAAAAATTGATTAAGCTTTGATCAAAATAAACGAAATCTTTTTCTTTGTGTATCATGTTGCATGAATCCAAAGAGCGCGAACTATTTAAGAAATTTGGGGGGTCGGAGCAGTAACATTAATGGCACTTTCTGATTATATAGAGCCATTTATACAACTGTTAAAACAACCCCTTTTTGTATTCTTCTTTACTCCTCGCGGGATCGTCGGGGCTGTTAGAGGGACAGATTTCCACGACAATGATACAGAGTAGTTTGGTTTTGTGCTTTATTTTATTTTATCACAAGTGACTCAGTCGTTCGTGGATATGCGCCGACAGTGTGTGTCTATGTGTGTCTCTCACAATGTCTCGTGTTGCCTATATTGTGCTACCCGCGGTGCTAAACTTTAGTGCGCGTGCATGTGCAATCCCGGGTTTAATCACGCGTGCATCTTTTATGATAATATCAATTTCACACAACTCTTATATAAAAACGTGACTAGTGAATAAGACGCGTCGAGCTGTCCGTTTATATAGCTGCTAACCAGCCAAGCCCGTCTTACATAAGACGCATCTTAACTAAGTCATTGAACAAGCATTTTGAATAATTTATACGTCGAAGTCGCGTCTTATTTAAGTCGCGTTTTATATAAGTTGCGATTTATTTTCCCTCCTATTATAGTAATAAAAGTTTCCCGAAATTTACCCAAAACTAAAATTAAAACGAAGGCTTTTATCGATATTATGATATCGATTGATCCAGTCGCTTTACAGTTTACATGGTGTATAAAAAGCTGCAAATATTCATGGATATCGCCTTTCTTTTCTATTTTAAAAGATCGTAAGCCCCTGGGAATAGGAGATGTTTCCAATTAAATGAGAGATACGAGACGAGATTTAACAATGCATTCCCACCTCTTTGATCCCACCCTATGCATTGTTAATTGTTTCCTTGCAGGTCGTTCACAAAAAGACGAAGAGAAGGCGCATGCCAGCGGCAATAAGGGACTGGATGATTAAATATTTTGTTTTGTTATAGTTTATATTCTTTGAATTCACTGTAATTTTGTTAAAGGAGTGAATAATAAAGACAATGCATTGTTAAATCTCGTCTCGTATCTCTCATATAATTAATATTATACTGCATCTGCTACACAGACTTGCATAATCTACAATTATATTTCGAGATACTCGTTATTTTTTTATATTTCGTTATACAATTTAACAATGCATGTTCAAAGCCATCAAAACATCCATTATGCCATCAAGAATTACCGGCTGTTAACACCGCGTTACCAGGTGAAGCCTTAAACTGAAGCTTATAATAAAATCGGGTAAATGTACTTTCCTGAGACCAGTCTGCCATACCCAAAATATCTAATACTGATACACCCTGATTTAATGCTTCCGTAGTAGCCGCCCCTCTTAACGAGTGCGCTGAGAAAATGGACGTATCTATGCCCGCTAATTGCAGCAAAGATTTTATCCATCTGGCTAAAGTTGATGACGATACGGGATTATGAGGAGAAATATAGGATAAAAACAGTTTGTTACTTGTAAGTTTTTCACCTGAACGATAGTCACCAGTTCTAATTTCGTAACTCTTTAAACATTCTACTAAGCAAAGGTCCCTGTCCTCTTTAAACGCGGCATGAAAGCTCGTTTTAGGCGAATCTCCCGGCTTAGACGTATTTGGGAGGCCAGAGAGTGCGAAGGACACTCCCTCAGGATGAAAAGTACGGAATCTCAAATCTCTTTTCGCTAAATCTGAAGATCTATCTGGAGCTGTTAGACCCAAAAGTGTTACTAACTTGAAGGACAAAAGTTTAAGACTGAGCGTATCATTTGGCCCAAGTGATTTAATAAAACGCAACAACTGGGAAACTTTCCAAGTGTGAGAGTATTTTGGTTGTGGAGGGCGCGAATTAAACATTCCTTTCAGTAATTGAGAAACCAAAGGATGAGCCCCAACTTTCCAAGAATCAACCGGAGGCAGCACTGAGGAGGAAGCTGAGCGATAAACATTAATAGACATATACGCCTTACCATCCTTAAATTGCGTTGTAAGAAATTCTAAAATACTTTCTATAGGTGCTGAAAGTGGATTAATTTGTTGTTGATCGCACCAGCTAACCCACTTACTCCAGGCAGAGGCATAGGTGCTACTGGTGTTCTGTCTCCAGGCTGCCAAAAAAATGTCTCTAGCGTCCTCTGAAAGGCTTGTAGTTTCGTGACATTTGCCGACAGCCTCCACCCAGTTAACTGCAGATTGTCCAGAGGGTGAGCTTGATTGCCCTTCATCAGAAGCTGGGGAGATACTGGGAACAGTATCGGCAAATCTACGCAGAGTTGCAGAAGCAGTGGGTACCAAGCCTGAGTGGCCCAAACTGGTGCTACCAGCACCAGATAGTCCACTTTTTGATACATCACCTGCCGTAAACACCGGCCTATGAAAGAGAAAGGGGGAAATGCATATCCCTGTATCTTGTTCCAATTCATGGAAAAGGCATCCGTATAGGTTGCCCCTGGATCCGGCTTCCAACTGGCAAATATTGGGAGTTGATGAGTTAGTCGGGATGCGAAAAGGTCGACTTGGAAAGGCCCCCATTAGGTTAAGAGTATTTGAAAAACTGATGGGTCCAGCTTCCAATCGCTGGAGTCCTGAATCACTCTGGACTCCTGATCTGCCCTCACATTCAAGTATCCGGGTAGATGCTGAGCAGACACCACCAACTGATTTTGGAAGCACCACTCCCAAAGATCTATTGCTAAATTGGCGAGAGCTTGGGAATGGGTACCTCCCATCTTGTTTATGTAAGCAACTGCTGATGCGTTGTCCATCAACAGTCTTACATGAGCACAAACTCTGGATTTGGTGAACGTTTTGATCGCCAAAGAACCTGCTAGGAGTTCGAGACAGTTGATGTGATATTTCTTTTCTTTGAAGGACCAAGGGCCCCCTGTTCTCACACCTTCGCAATATGCTCCCCATCCCTTCTGCGAGGCATCGGTCTCTATTATGAGGTCCACATTGTCCTGAAACAGAGCCCGGCCGTTCCATGCATGGAGATGGTTTCTCCACCAAAGAATTTCTTCTCTGGCCGGGAGATCTAAGGCAACCAAGGCCTCGTAGGTTTTTTGGGAGGATAAAGTTATATTCTTTAACCTCTGAAGATGTCTGTAATGGATAGGGGCTGGAAATATCGCTTGAATGGATGAGGTCAGGAGGCCTAGGAATTTTGACAATTCGCGAACTGAAATTGAGCCTTGATCCAACAGCCCCTGACACTTCTTGCGAATTTTTCGCAATTTCTCGCCCGGAGGTTGAAGTGTCATGGAGTTTGAATCCATTAAAAACCCCAGAAATCCCATCTGCTGGCCAGGCGAGAGATGGGACTTTTATAATTTACTAGAAAGCCCAGTCCCTCTAGAAGATTTAGTGTAGAGGCTGCATGATTCAATGCTAGATTGTGAGACTCCGCCATAATAAGGATGTCGTCCAAATATATAATTAGACGAATTCCTCTTTGGCGCAAAGCTGCTACAACGGGCTTCATAATCTTTGTAAAAACCCTTGGAGCTGTGGCTAGCCCAAACGGAAGACACCTGAATTCCATCATTGTGCCCTTCCAGAGAAAACGAAGGTATTTTTGGTGATTTTTGCAAATCGGTACCGTCAGATACGCATCTTTGAGGTCGATTTTTACAAGAAAATCGTCCTTTTTCAGTAAATCCCGCAACATGTGAATGCCCTCCATTTTGAAATGCTCGTAGGCCAGATACTGTTTAATTAACGGTTTTAGATTGACTACTGGGCGATTTCCCCCATCTTTCTTGGGTACCACAAACGTGGAACTTATAAACCCCCCCCCCTCTAGAGATGAAGGTGGTACTGGATGAATTGCCTGTTTCCTCCACAGTTCTAATACCTCTTGTTCCAACACAGTCTCCTGTGTTACAGCAATATTTGGGGGGGGGGGGAGGGAATGCTGCAGAGGGGTAGAGGCAAACTCTATCTGATAACCCTGGATAACCTGTAAGACCCAAGGATCCTGGGTAACCTGCTCCAAAGCTTAGGTGAAAAATTTTAGACTCCCTGTTTGAGGTGCAATCTCGGGTACCTTGAATTGCAAAATCTCTAAAAACATACCTTTTGGTAGAGTATATGGTCTGGCATTCTTTAGTATTGGAAGTTTTTGTAGGACTGCGGGTTTGGAAATCGTGGAAACTGGCCACGGCCCCGGTTTCCACTGCCCCTGGCTTGTATGTTCCCTGGCCTCTTGGTCTGAAACTGCTTGGGCGGAAGGTCCTGAAGCTGAATCCTTGACGGCCTCCACGGGGTCTGTGAACTTCCCTGGAGGCCCCCCCCCTCGAAAAAAGGGCTTGCCAACACGGGTTGCTTTGCCAATTGTCTCTGCGGTCTCAGATCTAGTCTTGAGGCGTTGTTCAAACCCTGGCCCAAACAAATTACGATTCGTATCTGGGAACTCCTCTTGAGCAAGGGACACCATTAGGGGGTTTATTTTTTTTCAAGACCAGCTCTCGTCGGTTAGAAATTCGAGAAGCTACGTCCCCTGTCAAAAGCATTGCATGCTTTATACAATCCATGAAACCGCGAACGCTAGTTGCATCCAGTTGCCCACCCCATCTGTAGAAATTGCGCTTTCCATGGATAGAAAGTTCTCATATGCTGTACACAGAGGACAAAAGACATCAAGTACATTGTCCTGTAGCTCTTTGAGGGGTTTTTCAGGCAAGGTTATTCCCTGGATGAAAGGTTTCAAATATTCATCCATAGTAGGGGTATAAACCACATCCACATTTGGTCTAGGATAAACTTTAACTAAGGTCTTCCGCTCAAACTTATTTCGCTTCTTCATTGTCGTAGCTAGAAACTGGGATAGACTTTCACTAGCCTCCCATCGCGAGTTTGGAGAGAGCAAATGATCCGTCTCTGTCTCTTCCACCTCACTCTCAACATCGCCAGTAGTGCGAACCTTTTTGGCTGACACCGGACAGTCATCGTCCAGTTGAATAACTGTTGTTCGCTCTCGCTTAGTACCAGAAATAGATGTACCCAACTGATCATCCGATGCAGCGGGATTTGAGAGATTCTGTGTACCAGTTTGATCGTCAGATACTCCTGGTAATGTTAGATTTTCAGTTCCCGTTTGATTTTCTGATACTCCGGGACTGTCAACGACTGCTTGGGCATGAACCACTGCAGTATTTTGCTTTATTAAATGCGGAGCCATTTGAGCCAAAAGTGCGGATGAAAGTTGTGCAAGTAAGCCTTGATCGGCCACTACGGCCTGAACAAGGTCTGTCGGAAGAGGTTTCCTACCTTCCATGGAGTCTTCCTGCTCTGATTGATCCGGATTGACTATAGTTTCCAAGACTGAAACATTTTCTTGATTGTCCGCCATGCTTGAGTGAACAAAAAAGACGAAGAGAAGGCGCATGCCAGCGGCAATAAGGGACCGGATGATTGAATACTTTGTTTTGTTATAGTTTATATTCTTTGAATTCATTGTAATTTTGTTAAAGGAATGAATAATAAAGACAATGCTTTGTTAAATTGAAGTCGAGTATCTCGAAATATAATGCAACTTATAACATGTTAAAAGTAATACGAAAAATTTGAAATTGTGGATATTGTTATATGACGTTTTTTTCTACGCGAGGTAGGAGATCTTTAACAATTGTTAACTAATGTTCATTAATGTTAGGTTCTGCCTTCGTTATTCTCTTCTCTTCGGATTCTTCGTCCTTTCGGACTTCGTTGTTTTCTGTTCTTGTCTTTGGTTGTCTGTCCTGTAAGGTTGAGCTTCTTAACGTTTCACATGCTTTTTACTCCGCTAGTCCACTCTGTAGGTTCACTTCGTTTCAGGATTCATCTGAAGTTCTTGTGTCCACTCTGTAGGTTCGTGTTGTGCACGCCCTTTTTTAGTAACGGTTTAGGGAAACTTGCAGACGTCATCAACCAGAGTGGGCTGATCCTTATCCAACCAATCAGCGTTGTAAGTTAGAAACGTGGGTTGGTCTTAGAAGCTCGTTCCAGCTCTCATATCTTGTTTGTTTAAGGCGTTGTCGCACTAGTCGAGTTGGTCTTCTGCTCAATCGATCAATACTTAAAAATATTCAAAACTTAAAATATTCATCATCAACAACTAGTAAAATTTACAAACAATACCAAAATTTACAAACACCGCTTAAATCAACCATCATGCACCAAAAACGTCCAAAAGCACCCTACCGAGGAAACGAGCCTAAATCGCAACAAAGGCAATTCTGGTGGTCGCAGAACATCATGCACGATGTGCGCCAAATATTGCTACTGTTTGAGATTTACTTGAAGATTGCCCACACATCAGTGCCTGTCGCAATCCTCTGGCTGTTTCGTGGCTAAACATAGTTATAAAGCTATATAATGTTCTAGACTTTTAATGGTAAAAGAATCATCCAGCACTTACGCATTTTTCACGCTACTTACTTGCGCTTTAACAGTTGGATTTCAGTCTTTCGGATTACGTAACATAGACGGTTAAAAAAACAATACACCGAAAGCTTGTCCTAATTAGCTTACCGTCCGCACGAACCCCGGGGACGCGATCTGATTAGCTACGTAGTCAAAAATAGATTGTGATTTTTTAATGCGATAAATTAATAATGATTGTGATTCAAATAATCATTGTGATGCATGACGTTGGACCGCAAAACCGGGTCTTCGCTACGGCAAATCTTCTCTTCATGGGCGTTTTAGTGCTTGTTCTGTCCCGTTTGTCTACAGTCGTGGTTCTCTTTCAGGCGTTCTTCAATGTCAGATATTTGTGATATTAATCCATGCGCTTCTTTAGAGCGTTCACACAGCTTCGGCATATGTACTGGCTCCATTCTAAGACATCAACAGTGAACAGCAAGCTCTCTCGCTCAGACTGTATATTTCCCTTACTCCTTCCTTGAATAAATATTACTTAGTATAATAAACGTTATAAATATTGGTCATTTAAATCGGCAGTGTTCAAGCAACTTGGCCAGGTGGTGAAAGGCGCTACACTCAAGAACGAGGCTAGGAATTCTGGTCCACAATAGGGGGCATGAGTTCGAATCTCACACTGACATTTATTCACTAATAATAAAACAAGTACTGCTTTTTGTTTTTAAAAATGCTTTGTTGAAATTGCTGCTATCGTTTCCCCGTCGATAACGTGGAACAAAGCGTGGGTTCGAATCCCACCGCTGCCAAACTCAATGAAATTTTAGCATTTGAGACACGTTTATTTTATACTTGAGAAGTAATCCAATAAACTTTCTTCACTTATGCAAAGCGAACGTTTGCAAAATGTTAATCACCACAGCCTCAGGTAGCGTGGCCAAGTGGTCCAAGGCGCTGGTTTAAGGCACAAGGCGCTAGACTCAAGAACGTCGTGAGGTATTCTGGTCCACAATGGTGGGCGTGGGTTCGAATCCCACACCTGATATTTTTTCACTAATACAAAATTAGTAGTGTTATATTGTTTTAAAAAACACTTTTGTGAAATTACTTCTGTTGTTTCCCCATGGATAACGTGGGACAAAGCGATATTGGTTCGAAAATATTTTGAACAGTCAGGTTGGCCGAGCGGTCGAAGGCGCCAGACTTAAGATGGTGTACGACTTCTGGTCCACAGTTGTGGGCGTGGGTTCGAATCCCACACCTGACATATTTGGACATGTTGGAAAAAATTTTTTGGGATGGTCAAAAATTCCTCACACCTCTTCACGTTAAAAAGAAAATAAAACATTAAAAAAAGTTATTAGCGATAAGAATACACTGGACGCAATAAGTGGACATAAAGTTCCAATCCGGATTGGCAAACTTTTCTACAAATAAGAAAAATACTTAACCATATAACCGTAATACATTTTGCAAAGGCAATAGTACTTGTTATTGGACATAAGCCTTTGCAATATCCAAAATTGGGCGGCAACGCATGCAGGTAGCGTGGTCGAGTGGTCAAAGTCGCTGGTTTAAGGCACCAGTCATTTCGATGGCGTGGGTTCGAATCCCACCGCTGCCACTGTTGGCCCGGATGTATGTCATGCGGAAACAATTTTTTCAGATTTTGACATGAAGGAATTATTTTAATTTTTTTATACCAGTAGGTGTCGTTGCAGTGGTACTTACTCGTCAGGTTGGCCGAGCGGTCTAAGGCACCAGACTCAAGAACGTCGTGAGGAATTCTGGTCCACAATGGTGGGCGTGGGTTCGAATCTCACACCTGATATTTTTTCACTAATACTAAATTAGTAGTGTTATAATTATTGTTTTAAAAAACACTTTTGTGAAGTTACTTTTGTTGTTTCCCCATCGATAACGTGGAGAAAAGCGATATTGGTTCGAAAATATTTTGAACAGTCAGGTTGGCCGAGCGGTCGAAGGCGCCAGACTTAAGATGGTGTACGGGTTCTGGTTCGAAGTTGTGCGCGTGGGTTCGAATCCCACACCTGACATATTTGGACATGTTAGAAAACAATTTTTGTCCTGGTCAAAAATTTCTCTTAAATACCTCTTAACGTGAAAAAGAAAGTGAAACATTAAAAAAAGTTATTAGCAATAAAAATAAACTAGACACAATATTTTACAGTGGATATAAAGTTTCAATCCGGATTGCTATACTTTTCTACCATTAGTTAACATTCACCAAAGGCGTTAAACGAAGGTAAATTCAGTTATATAAATTTCTAACTTATGAAATTGAATTGTGATTGGCAGCAT